GGCTGAGAAGATACGGGCAATAGTTAACGAAGTAAAACTACAGAACACCCTGGACGGAAAACTACAAAACAACCACTCATTACAAATGTTCGCAAAGAGACAAGATGGGAGGCGGTTAACAGCGAGGACAAGTAGAAAGAAAGGTAACTGCACAGTATTTCTGTACCATGCATTTCGCTGCTACGCCATTAAACCACGTAATATACAAACTTTTAAGCATTCCGTCAGAAATACCTTATGTCCAAGCCCTTACGTAGAAACGCTAGAATTACCCATTATATTAAGCACTTAAATTATTGGCCGACTCTTGTGACTAGAAGCAACGCATCGCCGCTAGCCAGTTGAAGAAAAATCCACAGTCCGTTTAGGAGTGCTCTTTAAAGCATAACATAAACACGATGTTTAGGAATGGCTACCAAACTGTAGCTTGTACCTCCGATCTAGTCAGTAGAGGTACCATTTAATAAGCCACAACTTCATGGCCATTGAGCACGTGCAATGCATTGGATACAAGAGCGCATCGCCCAGTTTGGCTAAAGAGCGGAGCATTCAGACACAGCATATAAATACACAGACATAAGATAACTCTGATGATCCGCGGTAACTACCAGAAAGCAGCATTGCAAATTCAATTGTAATCAGTATCATCGATTCAACTTATGCAAAATTAACAGAGTTCAGATTTGATGGACAAAATCTTCAATTTTGTCTCCGATACTTTCGTCATTCTCTAATTGCTATTTTAATAGAATCTGTGTACTACCTCAGTGAATTCCAATACGAAATTGAATCTGCTTTGATTCAGACTGACGTCATCGTTATTGGGCCGCTGCCAGACACGACACTATGTTCACAACACCTGCATGATGATAGATACTAACTCTTCGTGATTAAACGATAGAAAGAACAGAAGATAAAATTTTGCAGTGGCTAAAGAAAGATAAAGGCGAGCATAAATATCAAGTGATGATAGAGAGAAACTACTGAACAAGGTTTGGCTCGAGATAAAATCGGCGAAGAAAACAATAACGACGATGAGGAAATACGATGAATTTACAAAATTGAATTATCTCAATTATGATCGATCTTTTCTTTACGAATTGATGCTCTTTAGTGACTTATCATTTGACCTAGAAGTTCATTTGTAATAATCTTACATCAGAACAACTCGGAGAGAGATTATTATTCGCAAACAGCAATCTTCAAAAGCACAATTAAAACTAAATGCTTTGTTTAAGCCAATCAGTCAATGACTTAAACATAATACCTTCAGTTCAGAAATCTATACCGATAATAAACATCGAAGATGAAAGCGATTCCTCCCCTGACAACGAAGGAACATCACAATAGGTTTTCCTTGCTAATTTATGCTACAGACGAAGAACGCATATGCAACTAAAAATAAATATAATACATTTAAAAATTCTTGTTCCATACTTAAACAGGAATTGGATTGTGCCTTGAAATATACTTTGTCACTTAACGTGCCATCCGCTTCATCTACGAACCATTTTACGGACACTCGTGCGTACCAAATAGTCTGCTAAATTGAAGGCATACTGTAACTCAGTAGCAGATGACAGATTTACTCGAGTATTTCTTTACTGAAAGATGTGTAAATGGGTTTTTTTGCAAGTCGCTTCAAGTTGTGCGAGAGCAGAAACATCGCTGACGGAACAGACTTATGTAAAAATTTGAGACCAGGGTACTTTGTGCAGGACTTCGTCGAAACCAGCGCACCACGCACCGAGTGGCAAACAGCCGTGTAGAAGACTCCTGTCATCCGATGATGAACAACGAACAGCCGACAGACAACTTCTTCTCCGTAAACCAAGACCGACTAAACGCAAATAATCATATTTCATGCGAATGTTCGGGAGGCTCCAGTAAATCTACTGATCAGACGATCGGACATCATCATCGTTCAATATAACTCCAGTTACTGGTTTTAGTCACGGTTTTGCACTTCGTGCTACGATATTCAGATATATAAAAAATAAACTTCTTAGTCATAAGGGAACAAGCGACATAATTTCCGATGCCAGAAGCGGGTGAACAATGCGTTAAGATTTTACTTATGTACCACCCGTTAATAGAACTGACTACATCGACTAAATGCGATCAGTCGTGACAGTTACACTACTTTGCTGTCATTGCATTCAATCGGTAACAGAGCTTCAACTACACACTAACCCAAATATATGATGTCTATCCTTCAAACACAAAACCGCAACAATGAGTACCGAAAATGTAATACTAAACAATGTCATGATATGCGTGGGTATCCTTCTCATCATAATCCTGACCCTTTTACAGAAGCACGACTTCTCTGACTTGTGATGTTCGCTGCATGTCTAGCTCTTCAATAATTTTGTAAAAAGACAAAGATTACAGTACTACTGGAAGAAACAATTGCTCTCGGCATGCAGATCTGCCTCTACCTTACTGTTCCAAGTTGTATGTTGGACTCTCGG